GCGCAACTTCTTGGACTATGGCCCCTCCATCCCAGAACAATGCTTCCATAAAGTCAAAAATTGCTGCATCCATTGGGTTGAAAACAACTACTTTAATTGGATAACCACCTTCATTGGTCTTGGTTTAATAATTTTGTAACATCAATGGAAGACCCCGGCACATACACGTTCTATGTTGAAGGTTCCATGAAGATTCTATGTACCTCAAGGCTGTTAGGGATACATTCAGGTGGACCGGCTAGGAGTACGATAGAAGCAAGTCAGGGTAAGCAGCAGATTCGGTCCAGAGGCAATGAAAGAAGTTTAGAGCAATTGGAACCCGGTCCAGAGGAAATGGAAGCGGTTGGAGCTGATGGAAGAAGGTTACCATGTGGTGGAAAACTGATGGAAGGAGGTTACCAGGCAGGCAGTTGGAAGTCGTGGAAGGAATAAGTGAAACTATCTTTTTAGTAGAAGAGATAGTTATTTGATATTAGGATAAATATAGAACAAACACACAATACACACACTAGAAATAACACACATATCATCTACAAGTCTTTATCATTTTATTAGTTTATCCATAGGTTTTAGGATATTATCTTAATTTATTGCTAATTTATGTTTCCAGCATGTTTTTATCTGCTTTCCAATAGATTTATCCGATTTTTAGTATATGTTAGCTTAAATCCATAGAAATCGGTCGTTTAGGCTCAAAGCCATGCAGGCTCCACTGAAGGAGCCGCCTCCAATCCGACGATGGACAGACTCTTTGGAGTACTCCCGGAACCCACATCGACGGAATTGACGAACTGTCTTGGAGCCTCTGAATTTTAAGTTCCAAACAAAAGCATAAAAATTTTGAATTGAATAGTTAGTTATATGATATGATATAAATAGGTGTTTTGATATGTTTAATGTAAAATTAATTTTTAGTATAATATAAAAATTAAAAATTAAAAATTTAATTTAATGTTTTTGAAAAAAAATAATTGATAAGAGTGAAAATCATTTTTGGTCCCATTCAATATCAAAATTATCAATTTTGGTCTCATTCAAAAACATTATCAATTTTAATCTCACTCAAATGAAAATTTATCAATTTTAGTCCCAAAATGGTTGACTGGGACTGAACACGGCCGTGTTGTCTTGAACACGACCGTATTGGATGACTCAGAAGGTGACTAGGCGTCCCAGGCAGCCAACACGGCCGTGTTGGTATCAACACGGCCGTGTTGATTACCCTGCACTTCTGAACCGTGTTCCTGCCCGTGTTCTGAACACAATCATGTTCCTGCCCATGTTCTCAACACAGTCATGTTCTAGACCATGTTCCTGGCCATGTTCTCAAATAATTATTTTAAAAATATTAAAAATTGATTATTTTTTATATTATAAAATAATTGTAAAAAATATTTTTGTTAAATTATAAATATATATCAAATAATTTTAACCAAAAAGTGAAAATAATAATAAATATGACCTACAATATGATTATATTGAAAACATAGTCGTGAACATGACCTAAAATATGGTTGTGTTGAGAACATGGGCAGGAACATGGTTTAGAACATGACTGTGTTGAGAATATGGACAGAAACATAGCCTAGAACATGGCTGTGTTGAGAATATGGACAGAAATATGGGCAGGAACCTGTGTTCAGAACATGGGCAGGAACACGGGCAGAAACACAGCCGTGTTCAAAAGTGCAGGATAATAAGACCAACACGGCCGTGTTGGCTGTCTGGAACGCCCAGTCACCTTCTGAGTTATCCAACACGGCCGTGTTCACTCCCAGTCAACCATTTATGAACTAAAATTAATAAATTTTTATTTGAGTGAGACTAAAATTGAGAATATTTTTTGAATGGGACCAAAATTAATAATTTTGATATTGAATAAGACAAAAATGACTTTTACTCCATTAATAAATAGTAAATTTTCTGGAAATCCTATAAACAGTAAATAAACTCAACGTCGTTCACACATTCGACGTATAGTGGGGTTTCTCAATATAATATATATATATATAATATTTGAATACCTCTGTAAATACACGCGTTTTCTCAACACTACTATCTGTCCTAATTTATTACCTTATTAATATTATCGTACGTGCTTCAATTTCAAATATATATAATACACACATATCTACTAATAATATCCGTCTAGAGTTCCAAAAATAGTCTATCCCTTTGTATCTACTAATAATACCTATGTGTGTAGTTGCAACACACATTTATATATATATATATATATTTATACATGTGTGTTTATTTGTCAGGTTTTATACCAAATTTTATTATTTTGATTTTTTATTTTTCTTCCAAAAATATCAAATCGAACATCCTATTTTTATTTATTTTATTACACTAAAATCTAATTTTACATTCAAAACATCACATCAACACATATTTATATCACATCAGACAACTATTTCAATTCAAAATTTTACTAATCAAAACTAAAATCCAAAATTTTACTTCATGGTTAAACGAACTTTATGAGCAATTCTTGTTGTATATATATAATGCAAGTAAAAGTTGAGCACACGTATGTGTTAATATCCTCTCATGCATATATGTGTGCCTTAGAAAAACGAAGATATATATCAAAGTGTATATCACTCAGTTTAGACATGAGACTTTTGTGAGTTTTAGGGTGTGTTTGTTTGTGGGTTTTTAGTTTTGGTTTTGGATTTTTTAATAGTAAAAAGTTGAATTTGAATAGTTGTTTGATATGATATAAATAGAGGTTGATGTCATGTTTTGAATGTAAAATAAATTTGTAGTATAATATAAAAAAATAAATAATAATAATTGTTTAATGCGATATTATTGAGGGAAAAAAAAAACTTAAAATAGTAAAAACATATGCTAAAATCCACAAAAGAATACAACATATAGAGTTTTGAAAAGTTTAGAAATAATAAGAAATTAGAGATTATTATTATATTTAAAAAATAATAATAATTGAAATGGCACCAAACAATCCAAAATCTTGCCTAAACAAATAAGTGATTTTACTCAGAGCACCACACTAAAACAATATGGAAAATGCATGGTATCAAACATTTTACTTAAATGATAAAATATAAAAACAAAAATTGTAAATACAAACAAGAAAACTAATTTTTTTCATCATTAAATTTAGTTAATAGGGTTTCATAAATGTTAAGTGTTTAGAGCAACGGGTAGGGGATGATGATTTCATGTGTGTTACTTTAAAATTTTAAATTGACAACAGTAAAAATTTGAATTTGATGTGACATTTTAAACGAACAAAAAATATCTTTGATATTATATTAAAAGTATATGAAAATACATTATTGTTTGATAATTTTAAGATAATAATAATAATAATAATAATAATAATATTAAATATTACTTCCTCTGTCTCACGTAATTTCTCTCTATTTTCTATTTTTGTCGGTCCCACATAATTTGTCATTTCATTTTTTGAAAAATTGATTATACATTTTAATTATATTTTAAAATTTATATTTATATTTTTTTAATTTTAATTAAATTATTTAGTTATTTTAATTTTAATTTATAATTATTTTTACTAATACATTTCTTAATTACTTATTTATTATACTTTACTTAAATTCTCGTATATGCTGTAACATGCCCATCTTATCTAGTACGGAGGGATTACTAGATCATATTCAAACCTAAAAGAAATTGGATTGAATTGGATGGGTATAATTTTGTAATGAAAGGAGAAGATGGTTTGGAATGAAAGGCATGTGAGGAACATAAATGACTCGCACAATAATGTCAACTACTCACCAAGATCCACCCTATCCCCTACCCTACCCTACCCTACCCTACCCCGCCTACTTGCCACAAATCTGTCAAATTCTTGCACCTTCATTGTGAGCTCATGAATGCATCCCATGTGGCTTTTGCTGCCCATTCAATATCTTGTTGGTCTTTTTGTTTCATTTTCATTCTTTGGACAAATTCCAAAATCACACCAACATATACATATACTTGTATATATATATATATATATATATAGATATAGGACTGACAAAAATTAATCCGACCTGATAATCCGATTTGAACCTGATCTAAAATAATTGAATTTGGGTTGAGAATTTTGACCAAATTAATAATTAGGTCAAATCCGTTTAATTAAATGGGTCGGGTTAAGGTCTACATTTTCGACCTGAAAATAACTTGCCTAATTTGTTTAATTAATATTATTTTAAGTTTGAATATACTTTTTAAATTTTATTAATACAATTTAAAATTTATGGCCAATGGCCAATTTTATAAAAATAAACAATAAAAAAGGATCGTGTTGTGTATTATTATGTAGTTTTTGTTAATTACGATTATTAAATATCGGTTTCATGATATGAATAAATAATTTTTGCTTTAATATGTATATATATTATACATTTGAAAATTTTGTTAATAAAAAAGTATAATTTTAAATTAAAATTTAAAAATTTTAGACTTAAACGGGTTATAGGTCAAATTCAGGTTGACCCAATTATCCCGTTTAAGCTGATTCAAACCTAAACTCGATCCGACCGGATCCGCTTTCCAGCCTACATATCTGTCACGTAATAAAATAAATAAAATTGTTCATACATTTACGAAAATGGTTATTATTTTCCCCCTAGGCTAATTTGCTGACCTTTTAGCTGTGTTGTGTTCGATCCTGGAGGTCATTATTGCATTTATTCAACTTGTCTCAAAATAGAATTTATTTATTTATTTTAAATAAAATAACAAAAAGAAGACATACATTTGTCATACAAACAAAACATATTAAAGTTTCACTCAACTTATGCAGAAAACTATTGGCAGAAGTAAAAAAAGTGGATTGGGAAAAATTAGTATGTCAGAAAAATAAATATATGCATATATACAAAACAAGAGTAAATTGAATAAAGACTACAGTGCTAATCATTGTCCAAGAACACAATTTTGTTCTCTGGTGATTCTACGTTAAAATAGATTATTTTCTCATCACATCTAACTACTACTGCTTAAACAAAAGATATCAAAATTAAAACATTTAAAACAAAAAACATAAAGAACACATCTTGTGTTTGATTTTATTAATTTTGTACATGCCTTTGCAAATAGTATCATATTCAAACAAATTGTTGAGGTGTAAGAACTGCCAATGCCAAGAAATCAATAGTTTCCATACGAAGAACAGCCTCACATAGGGCGAATTATTCGTTATGGTGTAAGGAAAAAAAGATGTGTTCTTTCCTCACCTGCAAATAGGGCATAAATTCCCTTAATTACGATCAGCCGTCAATGTTGGTGTTTCCGGTACTTGAGTCTCAGAGGAACACTGGTTTGGTCTGAGAGTCGAAAAATTAGCATTGGCGTTTTCACAGGAAGTAAATTCAGAGTAAATATATGCTGTCTAAAACAGCAAATCCTGCTGCCACTCCACCCTCATCCGAGGAAGAAACCTTGGTCCGCATTAAGTAACCACTTTGATTATTCACAATCACCTTCGTCTTGTTCCTGCAGAGTTCAACAAAGTGTAAGCAGCAATCAGTCCTACACATGTAAAAGGATCTAAATTTAATCACAAGAAAGAGCAGAGGATCTTGTTGGAAGCAGAAAAGCTCCAACAGTTCATTTACTTTGTATTTTGATAGGGCAACAAATGCAAAAACTATGTGGAACACATAAATATGGCAAAGACTGTTGGCAAGAGCATGCATTAAGGCATTTTATTGATCGGAATTATTTGAAACAGAAATAGAGGAACAATAATTAAAAATTGAAAGGGTTGCAATTTTTTTTTTTTTTTCCAAGCTTACATTACAATGCTTCATCTAAAATTTTTATGTGTTGATTTCTTAACTACGGGTATTTGTAATTAGTTGCACTATGGGTCAAACTTTAATTGAGCACATCTTGTTGATCTACAGAGAAGTCTCTCTATTTCAACATATCTGAGCACACTTTATTGCTTTTAAGTTATTTTCCTAGTGAAAATTTTAAAATTCATGAGAATAATCCTCACCTCAAATATGTAGAATAAATCCCGAGTTCTGACACAACATGCTCGTTATGAGAAATGCCTTGTCGCATCAAGATTGCAGGGGAGATGGTTGGAAATATTCGTTGCATGAGAATGTACGCTGCATCTTCCTCCTCGCTGCCTTCCTTGGTCATTTTTTGCAAGGCCACCCTAACATCATCACCATATATATTGTTGCCTATATATGAAGTGAACGAATGCATTATCAATATATATATATACACATAACTATGTAGACGAGCATTGCCAGTAGCTACATTGACAGTTCAGATATCAGACCTCCTCCTTCTCTTTGGGGCTTCATGACATATAAACCAGGCCTCTCGATTGCATCCTTGACAATGCTTGAGTCATCAAGGCTCCATAACCCTGCAAAGCATTTCCGCACTTTCGCAATGTCATCTTTGTTTTCCAGAAACCTGAGGCAAGTAAAAACAAAATAGTCAAAAACAACTTCAGGCTTTATGAAATCCATATTTCGATCAAATATGCAGAGAGCAAAGAGGTCATTTGGAGCTTGTGTGAGTGATAAGTGAAGATGTGCACTACAAAAAAATGTCAATTTTGTAACAAAATTTTTTCGTTCTTAAATCTACTTTTTCCGTTACTAATGATATTAGAGACGGAATTAAGAATGGAAATACGTTAACTATGTGAACTTTAAGAACGAAATTCCGTTACAAATATACTATTTTTTTGTAGTGGTGATACCCTTTGACAGATAGTGATTATATGTACTTGAGGCATTTATACTTTATACGTTTACTTTGCCTATCAAACTAAAGACAGCTATCATGACATGTTACCATCAGCATACCGCCCATATTGTTAATTTGTGTTCTTATTTTTAATTTCATCAACACTATTTATTAATTTGCACTTTCGTTTAATACCCCTTCCATCCTATTACTTTTACTAGTATAGTGCAGACTTAGTTTTTAGGTTCTAGATTTATATATATATATTTTTTTTCCCCTACCATTTTGCCTTTAGTTTTTGTTTGGAACGAATTGTGGGTAAATAAAAGGAAAATTGTAAAACTTGGAACATTCTAAATAAGAGATATAGCAAAAGATTTGGGACGAATATAGTATTAAATATCATATACCTTTCAAGCTGATTCGGTTTCGCCAACTCCTGTTGAATCTTCTTGGTACCAGCTAAATGATATCCAATTGAAGGGCATTTGATAGCACAGGACTTTTCAATCAATAATCTTGCACTCCATTCCTGCAAGAACGAATCAAAAACTGCTGATGCAAAATCAAATTTCCTACCTACATAACTTAGGATATGCTAAATGTTGCAAAGGTTGAATCTTGTTCCCTAATCAATTGAATGTCTTGTTAGAAATCCTGAGAATCAGAAGCATTGCTATAAATTTAGGAAAAATAACAATCTTCATCTTGAAAGATCGAGATTCTAAAAGGGACTTTTCAGAATAATAATCTACTTACAGAGTCTGAAGGATAGTCAGTCGGTGCATATCCAGCCCTGAAATAAACTACAGCAATTGCTTCACCGTCCCTATAATTTTATAGTCTCTAAGATGTTAATACAGTGTAGGAGCTCATTCAGTAAATTCAAGAAATGAAAATTTATATTAGTTATGTAGACACTAACACAACAAGAGTTCCATCTGCAAGAAGCTCCCCTTCTGCATCAATCTCTGCAAGGGTCTTCCTAATACTTCTAACTTGATATGTATTTTCAGTTAAGGAATTCGGGAAATGATTTTAGTGCCAGATTTAATGAAGATGGTGTAGCATGGTACATTTTTTACAGAAAAAAGCATTAAAATACTCCATTATTAGTTTATACATCGGGTAACAGAAAATGGAGGGATATCTTTCCAGCAGTACAGTGGAGAGCCAATGCTGATCGTACATGTTCCTTTCTTCGGTTTGAACAACAATCATAACCACAGCCCTGCAGTTTGTTCAAAACTCAACACTTAGTAATCTGTCACAAACAAAAATTGTATCATGCAGCTATTAATATAACCTAACCTTGGATTATCATACTCGGTCCAAGCTTTAGATATTGCTTCAGCAAACTGATCAACAGCATTGTTTTGTGGGATCCTTTTTGGATCTAATCTAAGATGATCTTTAAATTGATGAAGCAAGGTCCTGAAAAGTTTAACTGCCCTTTCTTATGGAAGCTTAAGTTCATTTATAAGCTGCCGCTTGAAAAATAAGATACTTATGCTTATATATTCTAACAATAATTTTTTAGCAAAGAAAAGAAAACCTGTACCCTACACGAACACTATTGACAGTAAAATTTCCCAAGCATTTAACAATAATTTGAAATGAAGAAATAAAGAAAGAGAAAAGAAAGCAAGAAACAACTACAGCTGGCCCAGAAGAAGATAACGGGAAAAGATAAACAAACTAACTTGGATAAACAAAGTTTTTCCTCTTTACAGATCTGGATAGAGAGTTCATACTGGGGTGTTGTGAAACTAGTTATGTTATAGAGTGGCATTCACATAGTTTAGTTTCCGGTTCCACTTTAACCAGCAGGGTTCTACCCTTCCAATCCACCTAAACTTTCTTTGTTTTCTTGTTATCCTTCTTCTGTTCAAGCCGACATGTCTGATCAATCCTAGTTCATGTAAACCATGTATTCTCTTTACCCTTTCCGCTTGCTAGAGCATTTCTCATACCTAATCTTTTCTAAAAAGGCAATTATCGTCCCCCTAGAGACGAGCATCGTAGGTGCATGCCATAGCCACCTCGTTTGAAAATTCTCAATAGCAATCTTCTTTGACCATGATGTTGTCTGATAATTTGGATACAACACCTTCGTGTGCAGCCAATTTAATTGGTAGGTTGTCACTTGTTAGAACAAAATAAAAGCAATAGGATAATCAAACAATACCAATTATTTGCACAATTGCCCTAAAGCCACTAGGCTCCTTTGTTACCAATATCAAGAATAATCTCTCTAAACCCCGGATAGCTTCTTTTAAATACTTCTTCTAAACCCTAGTTACTAAAAATAAAATAAGACCACTTAATAACTAAGGGGCAAGTCCAGTTCAAAATATAATATCTTAATAGAAAAGAAATAGATAAAGTCTAAAACCGCGAACAACAAGCCTTAGTCCATCCCCGTCGTCAATATACAAGCTTCGGTCGAGACATTACTTTTTCTTTAATCTTAACTTCATTCTTTTCATGCTCTTTTCGATCTTGCTCTCTATCAAATTTCATCATCCTTTAAAATAACCTTGTCCCCATCGAAGTATGAGAACAAGAAATGAGCTTTGATCTTCCACTTGTTCTCCTTCTTTACAAGCTCGATCCAACGTTTTTCGGGTGATTGGATTATGACACAGGGTTAAGTCACCCGTCAGCACTACTTGACCGCCCTTCCATTCAAAGGACATAGTTATAGCTTCCCAATTTGTTCAAACCTCAACGTGGCTAACCAAGCTACACTAAACTTAAATTCACCACCCTCGAGGGGAAACACAAAACAACCATTTGTTACCTCGCAGCCCGGTAATGAGATCGTAATATCCCGGCATGATCTCATCTTCTTCTATCCCCTAACTGGACTACTAACCTTTCTGTACAATCGGGTGGTAGTGGTAGAATCGATATTAAGGAAAAAGATATAAAATTGTGACTAGCGCCATCATTGATTAATATTGTTTACCTTCATTCCTAGCACAACTCTATGCAACCATATAATCCGTAAGCTCGAGAAGCCCTAGAGAAAAATGCTACGGTCTCCTCTTCTATCAATCCAATCTTCCTATCCAGTAGGTACATAATATTTGAACGGTTGAAGGTAAAACTTATGTCTTCTTCAACTATCATCATTTGCAATTGTTTAAGGGAGCATTCAGGTCTTGGGGTGTATAGTTTTTTGCAGTGAAAACGCTCGCAATTCAACAAATACCTAGCTTGGCCACCCTAAACGTAGATCATTTTGATCGAACTACATCAACAAATTTGTCCTTTTGTGTGCTTTTTTTTATTTTTTTTGATTTGCTAATTTCCGCAACAAATCATATTCATTGTCGGGGAAATAGAGCTTGTGTATGATGTCAAGTTGCTCAAATTTTGGTATTGGTCTCTGCTAGCCTACACCTGAAGATTATCTCAATGTCTCTAGACAATTCCATGGCCGTCTCTAGGTCCCTGGACCGAAAAAGATTTTGGTTTGGGATTTGAATAGTAAAAAAATTGAATTTGAAAAATTGTATGATGGGATATAAATAAGTGTTCGATTTGATATTTTGAATGTAAAATTGATTTTTAGTATAATATAAAACATAAAAAATAGGTGTTTGATTTGATTGTTTTGGAAGAAATTTGACGAATAGTACAAATTTTGTAAAATGTGAAAAGAACACACCCTAGTCGTTCTCCTATTGATCTTTTTGTTGCCATGACGACGGGATCAAAATCCGGAAGAGCAGACCAATTGTTAGAACAAGATAAAAGCAATAGAATAATCAAACAATACCAATCGTTTGTACAAAGAACAATCAAATGGATCCACCAAGCTCCTTTATTACCGATATAAAAAATAAGCTCTCTAAACCCTAGATAGACTCTTCTAAAACTAAACCCTAGTTGCTAAAAATAAAATAAGTCCGTCCAATAGTTAAGGAGCAAGCCCAATTCAAAATATAATATCTTATAGAAAATCAAATAATTAAATTCTAGACCTGCGAACAACAGGCCTTAGCCCATCGCGTTGTCAATATACAAGCAATGGTCGAGGCTCTACATTCTCTTTAATCTTAAGTTCGTGCTCTTCATGCTATTTTCGATCTTTCTTTCTATCATGACTCCAATTTACGAGGCTCCACATTGTGTTGCACTCGTTCCCCAATATATATGTTCAAGGAGTCCACAGAGAGATACTATCAGTTTTTTTATTAGGTATTTGCTATTGTGCATTTTGATGAAAATGGGTACTGTCGTAGTATGTTGGTTTCAACAGAGAGATACTATTAATTTGGTTTCAACAAGAATGCAGGAGTAAGGTTTGAATGCAACAATAATTAATTTGGATATACTCAAGAGACAATTGTCAGAGACCAATGCTAATGAAAAAATAAATAAATATTTGATGTATGCAGTCATAATTCATAAAAGTTCAATCAATTTGTGTGTGGTGCAACTGAAGAACATAAAAATACCATTAATATTAATTAACCTGTGAAGCTCGCTAACAAGACAGCTCAGCCCAGGAAATGAAGAAGAGATTGTGTTGATCTCTATCTGGAGCAGTAAATTAGTTTGTTGATCCAGCATGTAGTCTGATCGATGTAATCCTAAGCGTATATCCTAATTTTGAAGTAGGAAATACATCAGCATCCATTGCAATAAAAAATAAAAAATAAAAAAAATAAAAAAAATAAAATTATAAAAGAAATAAACAACAAAACAAAATTTGTATGTTGAAATGAAAAATGGAACTTAATGAGCTCCACCAACTCACAATAGGAACAGACAATAAGTATGCGCTGCCATTCATTTGAAACTGATATTTAACAGGAGACACGGGCTAATACCAATGCGAAAACTTGTTTGGAAACTTCCTTTTACTACAAAAGACAAACATAATAATAAAATAAAAAAACTTATAGTAGATAAGACAAACCTAATAAAAAGTAGGTGTATTAGTATAAAGACACTGAAAAGAAAAACATGGGCAACTATTTCATTGTTCCTAGCCATTGCGGAAATCTAAATAGAATCTTGTTTAGCTACAGGTTGTTTCTAAATGTTTTTCCCATGGCATGATGTATCATTCGATCTGCATGGTCACAAGTGTGGGGAAGGTCACAATAGTGGTTCTTGCGTAAGATAGTCCACTTTTGTCTAAATTAGTGGACATCTGATTCTGAAAAACACATAACTGATATTATCTAATATGAATACTTCATCCCCTAGAATTTCACCCAAGACATGTAATTGGACAGGTGAGGATTGTGATAAATTGGGGTACATCATGTAACCAAGATTGTCCCTGCAGTGGTCTTCTGATGTTTTGGTGCCATAAGAAGGATGAGGTGTCAGTCACAATGAACTAGGGTAGTCGATTTTTCATTTTGATTTTAGTTGCCCTTTTTGTCCAAGAGGAACACTTTACTAAGCTCCAAACACAATATGCAGGGTAATGACATGATATTAAGCTAATGATATATGTCAATCTGCATTAGGAATCACTAGTTTCTTCATTGACCTTAGGGAAAAATTGATTAGTGTAATATAAAGTTCTACTAGAGAAAAGGGTAGAAAACGCTAGAAATCAAATGATATGCTAAATTAAGGTAGTCCAATAACTCATTATCATCCTGTAGGGTTCGACCTACAAATAAGCATCTAAAGACGGAATTGAGAAGAAATAAATACACTAAAACTGTTACATTTGGGGGAATTTATGAGACTTTTATTAATAATGAAATTATGGTGTATTTATAACCTTATACAAAAAAGATAAACTCAAATAATAAGCTAATCTTGTATATATGCCTAAATAATAACCTAATCTAATAGATATGCTTAGATAATAACTATTAAATGTAAATAGTATCAACCAATATCTATCTATAATATATATCAACACATCGCATCAAACTCAAGTTGGTACTATGAAAGCCAACTCGAGTTTGGCAAAAGAGTCTGGATGTGGAGTTAAATATGGACGATCCTCTGTCGCAATGGTGATATTTAACTCTAATAAATTAAAGTTTTGGTCAAGTTAGGATTTTTAATGGTCACAATCTTCTGTCGTGGTGGCGACAACGATCCTCTGTCGTTGCAATGGCATCAAGTTAGGATTTTTTATGACATCGATCCTGTGTTGCGGCAGTGGCAATAGAGATCCTCTATCGCTGTGGCAACACTAAACCCTAAGAAAGTAAACTTTAGTAGACAGAAACTCTAGATAGATAATTGAATATCAAACCAAAAACTTAATCAAGAAACTGAAAACTATAAGTTGAAAATATCCTATTATGTTGTCACCGAAAAATTCTAGCAATTGGACACTGGAAGCACTTGCACATGCGGCTAAAGTCCGTGGCAACAAAGTTGTCGACCGGAGTTGACCAATGCAAGTAACTCACATGCACTATTTTTTACGATGACATTTAGTGGCAATTATCGTCTCAGAATTAGAAACAAGGTGGCGGTGGTGGTTTAGGTCGGATGCATTGAAAAAGTAACAATTATATGGGATTAGAATGGGATATATATTTTCAAAATGACAATGAATCTCAAATTCGAAAGGCAGTCGTTCGGGTACATTCCCGTAACTTGGAATATACCCGAAGAAAACATAGCTTATGTTACATTTTGGAAGAATTTCTGAGATTTTATTTAATAATGAAATTAGGGTCTTACAAATGGGATAAACTCAAACAACAAGATATGCCTAAATAATTAAACTTGATCTAATAGATATGCCTAAATAATAAAACCTAATTTAGTAGATATGCTTTAATAATAACTATTAAATCTAAAAAGCATCAATCAAAATATCTATCTAAAAGATATCTAAAAGAAATAACGGGGCAGGGCAACAATCCAAAGTGTGGTTAGAAATGAAGATGATAAGGAAATTGAGTAGGCTACGTAAAACAGATAGGCTATATAATATTCTATACTCCGAGTAGTTATCATTGTGTGTCGCACGAGTGACATTATGTGTGATATTTAGCTATCCAAAATGATCAATTGTTTCATTATAACTTCAAAAGTGAATAAGTTTGATACCATAGTGGTTACTAATCCTGAAACAATATTAAGACACTTGATGTAGCGCAACTAGAATTAATTCATGTGAAGTGATTAAATCAGTTGGCAGTTGTGAATTTGATTTGGCAAGGGGGCAGGTAAAGAAGGAAAAGATAAGTTATGATGTGCAAGCAATGTACATGTTTTTCACATTAACATAATATTGAAGAAATGGATCCTAAAAGTCGGGTAAGCTTCTAATGATAGCAAACAACTTCAAAGTTTCATAACTGCAAATAACAAAAAAGTTAAATCAAGTTAGTCTGATTTCCCGCCCACAGAACCTCTTTCAAATTCAGAAAGTGAATTTCTTCATGGTTAAAGGATTCATAAATTATACCTCTTTCTTGTTCATATCTAACATGGCAGCATGAATATCTAGGAGCCTAGATGTAAAAGCATCCACTTTCTTGGTCCTGCAAAAGACGGAATGAATAAAATTAGAAAATATGCACAGAATGGGTACAAAGAAACTAACATCTTTCGACAGCATACCAACCAGCATTATTCAAATATATATTTGCTAAGATTGGCAGTGAATTGGACAAGTGAATGCCTGAAACACAAGAATTGATAAGCAGAAATGCTGCAAGACCTTTAACCTGGAAAGTGATTCCTGTAAGAATTTTGCATCCAAGCTCACACGGTCAATTAGTTCATTGAATATGGGAGCCACTTCACAAGCTTGTTTCCAGTGACTCTCTGGAAACAGCATAGGCAACAAAGATATAGGTGCATGAATCAGACCCACACCAGGCACTCTCCCTGAATCCTGTATATTCGAACAAAACAGAATTCAAGTAAAACAGAAAGAATTAATATGAAGGCCGGTCATTCAGCTCATAAATCACAATAACACTAAGAAATTGCAAAATATTTCACTGCTAAATGTCCAGTACAGAGTTGAGTTTGAAGTATATTACAAAACTGAAATCAGGTTAAATCATGCGTCAATATCGATACATTCAAATATTGAAGAAAGAACTTCCTATTAGAGATAAATCTATATATTGTAAATACAGTGCCACAGTGAGCTAGCAAATAAAACTGTGCGGAGTAGGACAGTAGAGGTATCTTCAGACATTGGCCACGCTTCATGCATCAATGCATGTACTTTCAAAGATGGAATGCGTTAGTTCTATTAGTATAGTATAACAAACAGGTTTAAAGTAACAAGTACTCGTGAAAAGACTAAAACCCCATTTGGATTTGAAAGCGGATTTTAAATGAATAAATTTGAATTATCTCAAATTTGAAATACTTTAAAATTTAAATCCATTGTTTGGTATTAGGAAGTATTTAAAATGACATAGTATTAAAAGGTATTTGAAATGTTAAAAGAAGATGGATTTATAAATCCACCTTTAACTTCATTTGAAACTAATGTATTTAAATCAAATAAATGGATTTAAGAAAGTAATATGAAATCCTTTTTAGCCCAAATCACCCCAACCGGACGAGGCCTAAGATCTTTCAGAACTGCAAGTTCTTAAAAGTAGGGATGCCCAATATTGTTGCAAGTTGCAACTCTTTAATACTGATACCAGTGAAATGGAATAAGTTACTAGTATGCTACGGAAATATATAATAGAAATTTCTATTCTATGAGGAAGGCTCAAAGTGATGACATCAAAGTTCCTAATGAGACAATAAAAGGCCACTCCCCAAATATTTTAATGTATTCAGATACCCTAAATCTATGGGAAATGAGTCATATTGACTAATGCCAATTCTCAATTTACAATGAATTGAACTCATTGAAGTTAATAACAATCAATAATAGGTTGATAAAACTGCAACAGATTCGTATAACACCATGGAAAAACTTTGAGAAAAGAACTTCAAGTTTTCTCTTTACAATTAATTGAAAGGAAAAGGAGAACACACACAAAAAACATCTTACAGGGTCGACTTCAAGAGAGATCAAGATCAAAGGTGCTTAATTTTAAAAAGAAACAAAATCGTTTGATTTTAGGCGATTAAAGGAGAAGAATATTCGATAACCAACCAAGTGCTCAAAAAACTAATAGCAAGTCAACAAGCTGGACTACATGAAAGTCTGAATTATGAATAGGCAGCCAAGCAAGAGGAACATTGAATGCAAGAAACTACACCCAACCAGTTTCTAGGAACAAACACCACAATAAGCTCACCGATCCTTAACACTTTCCATTCTAACTCTACACGTACATTTCAATCCAACAAAAGACCAGCAAAACTCTGGAAGAACTACAAGAAATAACAGAACTAATGAAACAACTCAAAACACCAAAAGAGACAAAGATTCAATAACTAACACCATCTTACCAAATTCAGTTCAGTTCCAGAAATCCAAAAACATTAAACAAATCGCGATGAATGAACTTAAAGATCATCATAAAAATCCCTACAATAAATTAATTGAGCAACTCTCGTGATCCCCCAAATGAACAACCACAAACCCTAAACCGCCCCTGGTACAAAATAGATTCAATACCTAACCAAATTAAGTTATAATTGAACTGGAATTCACCAGGAACAACTCCACCCTCCAAGGTGAAAAGTGAAAACGCAACATGCTATGTAAACTGAATGATCGTGCACTCCCCTCCGCCGATTTCCTAAAGCGAGTAAATATCATCTAAAAAGGCACAATCAGTAATCTCTAAGTTCAATCTATATGGACCTGCGAACCCTTGTCTCCAACGACGAGGCCATGAAGAGAGCTCCAAACGAGAGCATCATACGCCATATTCTGAATCAATTTTTGATCCAGTGTCTGAGGATCAGAAATTGATTTAGGCATCTCTACTTGGTTCTCAGTCCGGCCGCCGCATTTCAATTGCGAAACTGGTGATGATATGTTATTGGCCATGGAAATAATGGAGGGTTTGGGATGGGGGAACTGGAAGTAGTTTTCGGTGCAGTGGGATTGGGGTGGCTCTACAGCGCAGCGAATCTTGTGGCTGATTCCTGAGGCCTGAAAGTGATGAAGCATTTCTGAGTGGCCAATTTCAGGACTCAATTAGTTGGGGAGTGAGAGTGATGATCTGACACACGGTTATGATGCTACCAACCGCAGTCAATCCTCCTTCGCTCCTTAATACGGACGAAAGGTTAAAAGTTCAGTTTAATCGACAAATTTTGTTGACATATTATTAAAAATATAGGGTAAATTCTATAATATCCTTGCACATGTTTTATTTATTGCATTGATTGTGCGAAATTTTTTTATTTTGATAGTTGGACTTACACAACTTTTACGTAAAAATATCTTAAATAATTTTTTTAATAAAATAAATAAATTAATAATGGATTAATTCTTGTTATATAAATTTTATAAAAATTATAAAAATAAATAATTGATCAACTATTTATTTATTTATTTTATTAAAAAATTATTTTAATTATTTTAAGTTTTTTATTTATATAAAATTTGAGTAATTTAAATTTTTATTTAGAATCAAATATTAATTTTGGACGATGAAAGTGTTTTATGTGAATTTACGTTAACAAAAGGGAGTTAACGCAATAAATAAAATTTATGGTATTTTGTGCATTTTTACTAAAATATAATTGGGTGTTTATATAATTTACCCAAAAATATAAGGTGTATTTCTTTAGGTTGAATTTGAGAAAAATTAATTTGAGTTTCATATTAAAATAATGTTTGATGGAATATTTTGTGAGCTGAAAATTTATTTATTTTTTTTTTTCAAAAAATGCGAGAGTACGTTTGTAAAATTTGGAAAACTTTGATTAAAGAAACATACATTATATATATATATATATTCATAGAATATATAAATAAGAGCATATGTTGTAATCAATGTTTCTACTCTATTATTTTATTTTTTTTTTATCTTTTATCCAAATTATATTCACATCAACATTCAAATTTAGGGGTGAGCATTCCGATTTTCGGTTCGGATTTTGTCAAATTCGAATCAATCCGAAAATCCAAAATTTTTGAAAAAATCAATCCGAACCGAACCGAAATAACCAAAATCCGAAATCCGAAAATTCATAATTCGAACTAAAAAATCCGAACCAAACCGAAAAATCTGAAATTCTAAATATTTTTATTATTTTTTTTTATTTTTTAATTTTTTTTATATTTTATTATTATTTTATAATATTAAATATATATAATATATAAAAATTAAATATATTAAAATATAATTAATAAATTTGAGTTTTTTATATTAAAATATAATATTTTCTAATTAAATATTAAATATGTGTAATAAAAAAATATATTAAAATGTTATATTTCGGATTTCGGATTGGTTCGGATTTTAAGTATATCGATCCGATCCGATCCGAAAATCCGAAATTTGTTAAAAATTCAATATGATCCGATCCGAAAATCCGAAAAATCCGAACCAAATTTTAAAATTCGGTTTGGTTCGGATTGGATTTTCGAATTTTTGATATTTTGCTCACCCCTATTCAAATTACTATTAAGGCCATTATAATATTATTAGCTTTAGCCTATTGTCTTTACAATTTTTTAAACGGACAATTGGAATAAACTCCCTACCTCTATTTTCACATTTAAATTCAGTCCCTAAATAATGTTGATAGACTCTGCACTCCCCCCTTTATTAAAATTCTTACCATTAACTCCCCACCATCTTTTTGTTTCCAATTTTGCCCCTATTTCAACCCAAAATTTATTTTATTAATTTCAATTTTGTCTCTCTATTTGTTAGGTGTTTTTTTTCACGCGAATGAAGGAAATTATGTCCATCCTTTGATTTCATTCACGCGAAGAAGAAAGATTGTCTACATTGTTCGATTTCGTTTGCACGGAGGAGTCTGTGATCAATGGTGAATATATATGATGGGTTTCGAATGCAAATCCCAAATTTTAGGTTTCTTTTGCGCAAGAGAGAAACAGGTAAGGTGAAGGTTCGAGTCCTCAGTGTGCGATGTTCTTTTGTTGCAATAATTTTGTTGATTGATTACGAATGTGTCGTTAAGGTTCGCGATCGATTTCGGAAAGTATTTTGCTATTACTTCGGTGATTGTTGCCTTGTTTGAGATTATAGTTGTAGTAGTTGCTGATTGAGTTTCATTATAACCTTTCGTTAGGACGGTATACATAGGAAACAAGTTTTGTGGAAGCTGTTACGATTTTTTGCTAGTATCCGTGGACATTTGCACGGGTTCCATTTCCCAGTATAGTATACCTACGTTTATTACTTTTATACTCATGTTGTTTGATATCATATGATGCATTTGTTTGAAAATACCATGGTTTTGTTGGTATATACTATGACTAATCATCTATGAACTTTGGTATTTATTTTATGTGCTTGTATTAGGTAATGTTAAAATCTTGTAGCTATGCTGCGGTTTTCTGAAAATGATTAAAATTGGGAATGGTTGTGTTGGAGTTTAAAGTATGTTCTTCACGTTGATGGTCGATAATTTAAAATAATGCACTTTTTTTATAGACACTCGAAATTTCTAAAGTTCATTCTTGTAGTATTTTTCGGAGCCCACCACACATACTGTCTCCGGCATCTAGTGGACAACTTTTGCACTCGGGTATATGTAAAATATATATGTTATATACTATGATATGTACAACGAGATAATTACATTTCATATAGGTAATGCAGAGATATCCGATGCACAACAACAAATGATGGATGTCCATTTTCAACAAAGTCGGTTATGCCCCCTATAGAAGAATTTTGAGCAGCATATAACGTATATTGTGGAGGCCATGCCATTTGTCCGAAACTTCATTGCACAATTGCAACACTAGTGTCGGGTGAATTATCTATTTCAAGAGACTCGTTTGGAGATAATAAATAACAATATAACCGAATCGTTGAATATAGCCGAATCGTTGTCCAACTTGGCCAGCCAAAGAAAAGACGGTTTGAATCATAACAGTTGAAACAATCTAAAAAATGTGGTCGTTGCGGTCACCTAGGACATAATCGACGAAGTTGCAAGGAGGCTTTACCTTAGGTATTTCTAGTTATGGTTGAAATCTCTTTTTTGTTTTTGAAAGATTATAAATTGAACGATGATCTACGTACGTGACCATTGTTGATGGATTTTGAAATTAGATGGTATTCTCATTATATTCCTCGTTGTACACAGCTAATATATCGGGGTATGTATCATTTTAAATTAATTCAGACCAATCCGTTTCAGGAGTGCGTGAGCTCATATTGAAAGTACCTACAATATTATTATATTTGTATAAAATATACCAAAGACAATAGTTACTAACAATGAATCATCGGTAGGTATTAAATATATTTGACGGAGCTTTTACAATGGCTATACGAGTATTTTCTGTCATTTTGGAAGTATATCCATTAATATAGGGGGTATACATAGTAGTAGTAATTGGATGATCTTTGCCAATGGAAGTATTCATATTCGTGTGCAAGTATTATTAATGTGAACATGGGTATTCAAGTTACATGGCCATAATTTGCCAATGATTATTATTGGATCAAACAATTATGAGTGGATTACGTCATACCCACTTTTTGGGCAGTGAGTATGCAACAGGGGATACTTCCGAGATGATATACGAAAAAACCTATCTATATATGCAATGGTGGAAGAATGTCACTTATGAAATTACATAAGTTAAGGTGACTTATGGTAAGGATCTAAATGAAGTCAGTGCATAACTAATGATCTAATATATTCTTTATATTGTGACTGTTTGTTCAAGCATATCTAAAAGTAAGAAGAAACACTCGACAAGAGCAAATAGAGTATAAAGGATAGAAAATATTAGTCGTAAGATATATTGGAATTCCCCACATTGTAGGAAATGTATTGGTCATCTATTGTTTTATATCATCGGTCTAACGGCGTTTTCATAATAATTTGGTGAGTACACCGGTGCTTTTAGAAAATTTTGATGAGTACAACACTTCTCAACATATGTCATTTATATTTAAAAGTAGTTAGCGAACATATTCCTTTGTACGAGTACATTCTATTAGTTCAGAGGTATATAAATTACTGATATAAAGGCACAAATATCATCACTGAAGGCATATGGTTTGGTCCTAGGGGTATGTCGACACCTAATCATGGGTGTGTGAGTTACAAACCTTGGTATATATTAAGAAGTTTGGATCACATATCATGTATACAAACGTATATCAGACCAAAATACAAGTACATATAAGCAACCTCATAAAATAACATGCGTTAGATTAAACTTGATTGTTTTGCTTCCACAGTCTATGTCAAAATATAACATCAACGCTTGGTACCCCTAATTGGCCACAAATCTAAGCTATTCATCAATCCGACCATTACAATTCAAACCCCAATCATTCAACAAGTACTAAACAGGTCATCCGATGCCCCCTGATAAAATGCGTGCAACAATTTTTGCCCTATAGGCCTTAACATCGTCGAATTCGGCTGCCCAGCCACCCAGTGGATAACCGTTGGTATCATTTAGAGCATAGCTATCAGCATACATGCATACCATGAGGCCACAGTCGACAAATGAATGAACGAAACCACATCGCGTTATCACCCCATGTTGGTGCCTAAATTCTTGACTACAGAGCCATTGTAAGTACGCATCCATAATCTCACACGGATAGCATCGACAAATAACAGATCGATCACTGATTCGGACGTTACGTATACTAGTCCATGGTTCCATACAGTCGCCCTACAAACACCAACCTGTTAGAGTGTTTAACATATTTGAAAATTATACATATAGAGCACAAGCTAGTATTTAATGTATATCAAAATTTTGCAAGAAAGTTGCCTATCATTTTTGTCTCCTCTTTGGAAATGGATCCACTCCCACAGTAATTAGTAGACCTTCGATACAATTCCCACTTCGAAGAATCGGCAACAAAGGTCTGTTTGTGGCCCATTTCACCATCACCACCTACAGTTACATAAGTTGCCAATCGAAGCACACATATTGTATATCCAGACATATTATTTGTTCCGATAAAAATTACCAGCTAGAAACTAAGGTACATGAAAAAATAATAGACGTACAAAATATGTTAATCAAAGCACACAAAATTTTAACGT